CAGTAAAGGGGAAGACACACTGTTTGGAAGGGATCCTAATATCCTGAGGCTGTTTCAGCCACTGTGTTGAACTGTGCAGTTTGTGTACAAAGATGCTTGCCAAGAGGGTGTATGGGAGCGTATGGCCTGAATCCACCTGTGCCCTGAGCTAGTGTTTCTAGATTCTCAATAGATCAGAATCTGTAAGATTCAGGAATAAAAACTTGGAATTCCAAGAAACTCTCAGTAATTTCCCTAAACCATAAGTTATTCCATAATTTTCCTAATATCTTATTTACATGTTTTAAATTAATGAGTGCCATAATAATAGTGAATCATTTCCATAATAATAAATAGTGAGTCAATTTTTAGTGGTAGAGTTAAGCTAAAAATTTCTGAGCTTTTCTGTTTAAAAATCTATATAATAAACAGAGGGTTTATTATTACTATAAAGCACTCAACTTATAAACAGAAAAGGTTTGCTTTGGCTCACAGTTTTAAAGGTTTTAGTCCATGGTTGACTGGCCCCATTTCTTTAGCCTTGTGGGGACACATCTTGGAAGGATCATTGCTGAAGCAAAGCCACTCATCCCATGGCCAGAAAGCAAAAGACCAAGATTCCATAATCCCCTTTGAGGGCTTGCCCCCAGTGGCCTAAAGACCACCAGTAGGCCCCACCTATTAAATATTCTACCACCTCCCAAAAGCACCACCTGAAGGACCAAACCTTTAATACATGGACTTTTGGGGACATTCTAGATCCAAACTACGGAAAGATGTGACCCAATTAAATACTGCAAAAATGACCTCCACCTAATGCAGATATTTGATAATAGAAAATGCTAAATAAGGGGAACATTAACACAAAACAAATGCCAAGTAAAAAATCCTATTAAAATTGAAAGATGAGCTGAGTGCTAGTGACTCACTCCTATAATCCTAGTTACTTGGGAGGCTGAGATGGGAGAATTACAGTTCAAGACCAGACCGGACAAATAGTTTGTGAGACTCCCAACTCCAAAATAACCAGAGAAAAATGGACTGGAGGTGGGCTCAAGGACTAGAGTACCTGTTTTGCAAGTGTGAAGCTCTGTGTTCAAATCCCAGTCCTATACCCCTCAAAAATTCAAAGATGATACAAAAATAATTAAGTCTTAAAAATATCATTCTTGGGGCTGGGGACCGCCTCAAGTGGTAAAGGACCTACTTAAAAAATATGATTCTTAAAATTTTAAAACACACAAGGCATTAATTTTCCCGTTCAAACTCTAGATCTTTGTTTCATGGCAAATACTCCAGACTAAATATGTATTTCTTTCTTTTTGCATTGATGTGGGTGAGATCACTGGGAGACTTCCACTGAGAGCATCAAATTTAGTACTGTTTCTTCATAGATGCTTAGTGTTCTTTTTAAAATATGAAATAAGTTAATGTTTTTTATTTTATTTTTAATTGACAAGGATTTTACATGTTACATATTCATGGGGTACAATGTGATGCTTTATTATATATTTGCATTGTGAAATGATTAAATTAAGCTAAATAACAAATTAATCATCTCATAGTTAATTTTGGTGTCAAAACCATGAAGCTCTACTCTTAGTAATTTTGAAATACACAATGCATTGTTATGTATTATGGTTACTATATTATGCAACAGATCACTAAAGCTTATCTCTCCTGTCAAACAAATTTTGTACCCTTTAATCAACATCTTTCCTTTCCCCATGGATGTCTTCTCCCAGCCTCTGTACCCACCATTCCACTCTATGAGTTCAACTGTTTTAGGTTCTACACATAAGTGAGATCATGCTGTTATTTGTTTTTCAGTACCTGTCTAATTTCATTTAATATTATACCCTCCAGATTCATCCATGTCGTCACAAAAGGCAGAATTTCCCTCTTAAAAAACTGAATAGTATTCCATTGTGCATACCACCTTTTCCTCACCCATTCATTCACCCACTGATGAACATCTAAGTTGTTTCCACCTCTTGGCTACTGTTGAATAGTGTTTCAATGATCATGAGAGTGTAGCTATCTCTTCAACATACTGATTTCATGTCCTCTGAGTACAGGCTCAATAGTGGGACTGCTGGACCACATGGGAATTCTCTCTTTAATTGTCTTTGGAGCCTCCCATATTGTTTTCCATAACAGCTGTATATTAATTTACATGCTCACGAGCAGTGCACAGAGGTTCTGTCTTTTCCATTCCATTGCCAAAACTGCCATCTTTCAATTTTTTTTTTTTTTCATTTTCAATTTTTAATTAGAGTGAGATGGCACCTGTGGTTGTTTTAAATTTGCATGTCTCCATGATTAGTAATGATGAACCTCTCTTCATATACCTGTTGATCATTTGTAAGCCTTTTAAATTTTTATTTATTATTTATTTATTTGCAGATCTAGGGATAAAATTCAGGGCCTTGGGAATCATGGACAAATGCTCTACAGATGAGATATCATCCTCAGCAGTAAGCAATCCTTTTTTAGAGAAATGTCTGTTTAAATCATTTACCCATTTTAAAAAATCAGATTCTATTTTCTTGCTGTTGAGGTGTCAAGTTTCTTATGTATTTTGGATATTAACCCCTTCCAATTTGAGTGTCTTTTCACTCTGTCTTCTTCCTTTGCTGTGAAGAAGCTTTCTGGTTTAATTTAAAACCATTTATTTTCCTTTTCTTGCTTCTGCCTTTGTAGTCATACCCAGAAATCTTTGCCACTGTCCTACAGTACTTTCCCTATTTTTTCTTTTACTACTTTTACAATTTCAGGAGTTGTGGTTAAGTCTTTAATTCATTTTTAGTTGATCTTTGTATAGAGTGTAAGATAAGAGTCCCATTTCATTCTTCTGCATATAAATACCAGTTTTTCCCAACACCAGTTATTAAAGAGATTATCCTTTCTCCATTGTGTGTTCTTGGTGTCTTTATCAAAAATCAATTGACTGTATGCATGGGTCTTTTCTGGACTCTTCTGTTCCACTGGTCAGTGTGTCTGTTTTTGTTATGCTGTTTTGATTGCTACAGCTTTGTAATTAGATGTTGAAGTCAGGGAAAGTCATGAAAATAGCAAGGTGTGGTGGCTCATGCCTGCAATCTCAGTAATTTGGGAGGTGAAGACAGGAAGATCTCTGTCTCAGGCCAGCCTGGGCAAAGTTAGCCTGAAACTCTATCTGAAAAACAAACTAAAAACAAAAGTAACGGGGGCATGGCTCAAGTAGTAGAGTGCTTCAATCACAAAGCCCTAAAGTATTACAAAAAAAGAAAACACTTTATATGCTTGCCTTGATTTTGGTTTATCTATTTCAATCTAATTCAGATCCTTAGATTTTAAATCATTTTTGCTAGTTCAGATTTTAGATCAATTACTCTTTTCACAGTAGAGTATACCACACACACTCACATCTTCTTTTTGTATTTCCTTTGTCAAGTTATTCACAAATAATGAATTATAAAATGTAATATGTATAATATGGAAAATATGAAAACACTGAAAAATGATAGCAAACACTGGGTATATCCAAATAATGTGGCATTCAGATCTCCTAGCAAGGTTGATAAGGCTACATAAAATCACAGGCCAAAGTTAAAAACACAAGACCAAATTTTAACTATAAGGACTTATTTTGCTTCCAAAATTTATTATTGCTTGGAACACCACTAATAGAATTTATATAGAGTATACTACACATACAAACTTATTAATACTTTTTGCAAGTATGACTCACGTTAGCAGCAGACACACATTTGAAGTATAGGAACAGCTACCAGCAAGACTGACTAATTAGTTCATGACCCCTTTTCTCCTGCTCATGCCTTCCCTGGTGCTTGGAATCCCCACCTTCACCTTCAATTCTACCCTCAGCACTTACTGCTCCTAATTTCCACAATGTCAGTGGATTCCTTTGAACCAGTCATGTCCTTGTGATAATAACTAAACTTGAATGCTCAGGGGGAATTAGAATACTTTTCCCTATTTTCCCAATGTCTTTACTAATCTTTTTGGGGATTCAGAATTCAGGAAAAAAATTTCTGAGAAATGCTAGGAATTGTAATTGAAACCATGTCCATTAGAAGAAGGTAACACATTTTTCTTGCTGAAGAAGTTTTTTCAGCTCTCTTATGCATAAAAGACTGTGTCCATGCTGACGCCTTTGTCAAATTCAAGAAAATGTGCACAAAGGCTATTTTAATGCTACCTTAAGGTCACCTCAAACCATAGAGGTGACCTTTTGAGTCAATGAGTCATAAAAGTCTAAAAATACGCAAGCCTATTGGAAAATTCTATGGCTGATTTGACCAAAGGTAAGGAAAAAAAATGAGATAAGTCTAAATGTTTTCTTTTTTTCACAAGTACTTCTGGACTTCAGCTTTAGACAAGGCCTAGATATTATTGCTATCTGATATCTGATATCACCAATGAATAATAATCTGGGTTTTGAAAAGCCATTTTTTCCTTGCTGTACCCTCCATTCAAGTATGTAAGTACCTCATAGGAGCCAACTATCATGTAAAATGTCTTCATACATGTGTATCAGACACCATGCTACATATTTCAAGTGTGTTTTCTCAATCTTTAAAATAATTCTATACTACAGGTATCATTGATTTCATTCCATGGGTTGAGAAAATTAATACTCAAAACCAAAAGTTTACAACAACCACCAGCTAATAAGTAATATGAGTTAAAATTTAACCTAAATCCAGTTTCAAAAAATCCGTGCTCCATACTACAAATCATAAAATGGTGGCAAGTCACAATATCTGGTGTTTGCTATGCCCATCCCTATTCCCCATCTGGGAGAAAGAGCTGGGACCAAGCAACCTGGCTGCTCCATGAGGACTAATCTTGAAGCCTCAACATAAAAAGACATTTAAATAACATTAGGGGTGATTGCTACACTTTTTTGAAAGAGATATATGACATTGAAACAAATAACATAAAAATGTAGAAGCAGAATATATGTTTTTGGGAAAGGATTTAAAAAGAAACATAGCACAAAAAGTCTTTCTTACCTTTAAATATTTCACCAGCTTCTGAATTTGCCAGTATTCTGAGGGCAAATCTGCATTTGCTTCCTGACGATGATCAGGTGGTTCTTCATCTTCCTCACTCTCTGAGGAGCTTTCGCTAATAATTTCCTCAGTTTTATCAACACTCTTACTGAAAACAGTAACAACAACAACAATTCCACACGTACAATCTACAGCATAGACATGGTTATATGATATTTTAGTAACACTTCTGAGTTCTAGAACGGAGGCAAGGTTTCTACATCTCACTCAATTTGGTAAGTTCAACACTAGCAAGTAATCGTAAGTTATGTATGGATAACAATATTTAGAACAAATGCCAAAAAGAAGGTATACAAACATAGGCATCTAAAAATACAATAGAGAAATCAAAGTGGAATTCTAGAAAGTTTTCAAATAATCCACAGACAGGAAAAGGCAAAAAATAAAAAACAGGAGAAATCAACAGAAAACAATAAGTGAAATGACAGACTTAGGTCCTAAAATATCAATAATTATAATAAAGATAAATTATCTAAATATAATAATCAAAATATAGCTGACTTAATGAATTTCAAGAAGAGAAGGGAGACTAGTTAACTAAAAGTTGGAAAATAGCTTGGCATCCCTGCCTCCATTTTGCATGAGACCCTGAGTTTAAAACCCAAATCCTTCCAAAAATATATAAAATAAGAAGAAAGAGAGAGGGGCAACTCTATATATTTATATCCATACAAAAACCTACATATGATTTTTCACAGTAGCTTTAATTATACAAGACAAAAACTGGAAACAACTAAAATGTCCTTCCATAGGTGAATAATTAAGCAAACTATGGCTCATCCATTCCATGGAATGCTAGTCAGCATAAAAAGGAGCTAACTTTTCAGATATGCAACAACTTGTGTGGATCTCAAGAGTATTACAGTGATGAAAAAGGTCAACATCAAAAATTTGTGATTCTGCTTATATTCCATTCTCAAAATTATAAAATTATAGAAATGGAAAACAGATGAGTAGGTGCCAGGATTCAGGAATGGTGGGGTGAAAAGGTGTAGGTGTGACTACAAAGAGTAACATGAGGGAGTTCCATGTGGTGTTTATCACACAAATCTGTATGTTATAAAAGACATATGCACTGTACCAAGGTTAGTCTCCTGGATTTGCTATTGTGTTATAGTTATGCAGGATATAACCACGGGGGAGAAGCTAAGGTGCAGGTGAAATTGAGACCACACTGCACTATCTTTACAACTTACTATGAATCTACAATTCTTTCAAATAAAAAGTTTTAAAAATTACTAAACAAACTGAGTAAGTTATTGCAGTGAGCCATAAAGTAAAATAGCATAAATGTAGTACAGTGTCTTAAAGTTTGTTTTCAGCAAACATACAAACTTTACAAGATGGATCTCTGCCATTTATTTCCATTCCACTATGAAACTCTCTAGTAAAAATGACCAACCCTTCTCTTGTGGACCCATCACATGTTTTATTAAACTAACAGTCAGGTAAGATGTTTGCCAGTTTGGTCTCATATTAATTGTTTTAGTTAGAAATAACATAGGTCACTTTAGAACTGGAGGAGCCATCAGTGATAGGCAAGGTGAGGGTGGCATTAAGGAACTGGTCCTGTCAATAGAAACATACCGGAGTAACTGTGTTTTTCCATGTGAAATGGATGACCTGGCCTTTCCATGTTTTTCCTCTTGACTGTCTTTTAAGGAGCCTCTATGCCTAAAAATATTAAAAGTAAAAGTAAAATATATTTATATAGGTAAAGCTTATATATATATATATATATGCTTTGTTACTTTCTGCTGATGAATAAGAAATAAAATATGGAAAAAATACAAATGGCTCATCATTTTCATGCACCCAAATGATGGGTTTTCCTGACACAGAGAATGGTGAGTTCCAGCCTCATCTGACACATCTGAACAAGAGATGTCCCTCTTGTTCTCCAAACACAGCCATGCATATATATATATATATATATATATATATGAGGAAGCACTTTGTCTAGTACTTCCTTGTTGTACTGGGAACAGGTCTTCTCAGGCTGCCATTGTTGTATGAGTCCTTCTCCCTCTATCTTCTCCTCTGGGTGCTTATTGGTCCAATTATAGTTGCTTATGGTTTCTTAACTTCTCCCACCCAACACTGCAACAGAATCTACACCTAAATTTTTAGGTATTCCTAGGCTTAGCATAGCCCTTAGAACATACAATGTTCTCAATAAATACTCATTAAGAAAATTCATAATTGAAAGAACAAGCACATGGAGAAAGCAGTATGTTAAAATTCATTTCTCAGTTGACAGAATTACCTGTATGTTTTTCATGGTCAGACTCTTTCATACAGAGTCACAAAGATCAAACACAACAAAGTCAATGAGAATCAGAAAAACACAAGTGTCTTCTGTTTCCACAGTACTCCTTTCTGACAGCTCACTGGATTTATCTCCAAAACAGAATCAGCCTGTGATTCTTGGAATCCTGCAGGTGAGGGTCTCTGTGTGACCAACCAGGAGCCAGTTCTTAATCCAATCATGTAACAATATCAAACATCAAATATAAACTAAAAATTGCAAACTACTGGCTAAAATTTAAAAAGGGCTTGCTACGGTTTGGATGTAAAGTGTGCCCCAAAGGCCCATGTGTTAAAGGTTTGAACTCAAAGGGGTCACTATAAGGAGGTTGTAGAATCTTTGAAAGGCAGAGCCTAATGGGAGGTCTTCAGGTCACTGTGCAATGCCCTCATAAGGAATTGCAGGAACCTGGCCATTTTCTCTTTCTTTCTTTTTCCTGGTGGCTAGGAGGTAAGCAGTTTTGTTCCTCCATTCACTCCCCACCATTGACATCTGACACCTTCACCAGAGGCCTAAAAGCAATGGGTTTACTAAACAATGTGGGCTAAAAATTATAAAACTGTGATACAAAATAAGCACTTTATACGTTAATTATCTCGAGCACTTTCTTATAGAGATAGAAAGCTGACTGACAGTTTCCTGACAGAAAGTGCTCTGGGCACTTCTAACTGCCTAAGCATTTAAATAGCACTGGCTCTTAATCTTTGCTCTGGCACCATTTATAGATGGAAATAGTTTTTTATATTTCATAATTCATCAACCCAGCATTACATGGGCCTATTAACATCGTTAAGACTCTAGCCTTGTTATATTTATGTTTATATTACTCAAAGTTCTTTTCATAGAGAAGACACCATCACTATGAAGGTTTTTTAAATTAACTCCATATAATTTTAATCACTCCAGATTCTCCCAGCATTTACATAATCAGATCCTTAAAACTACGTTTCAATGCTATTTTCCAATTTTTGGTGGTACTAGGGTTTGAACTCAGGGCTTTGCATTTGCTAGGCAGGTGCTCTACCTTTTGAGCCCTTGCGTGTTTTATCATTTTTTCATGTGTTATTTGTCCTGAGTCAGTGTTTTATCATTATTTTTTCATGTGTAATTTATCCTAACTCACCAATTACCTGAAAGTGAATTTTGTTCTTCCTTGTACAGACTCCAAACACAAATGCTGTTGCAGTTAAATCTTTCCACTTGGAATATATATGGGAGGGGAAAGAAAACTGACTTGTGCTATGGAGGGACATATAAATATCCATTCTGTATTTTTCTACTATGAAATAAAGTTCCAGGAAAAATTTGGCAAATATGTGGTGACAAAGATGTATCAGAAAATCCACCATGCAAATGTTTACGTACTCTTTGAAGTCAACTTTAGCCCTCCAGTTCAAGCTTGGCTGCAACCTCTTGGTCATTTGATTCTTTTCAAAATTAATTTGGTTCTTCTCCACTTTAGTGTTATTTGACCCAGTTACAGCTTTAGTGGGGGCAGCTCCTTCCTTCTCAGGTGCACCATCAGTTTGATCTTTCTGTTGTTCTTTAATTAATCTACTTTCCTTTATAAGAAAAATTAAGAGTAATTTTTACAATGTTATCACTACCTAATTACCTAGTGCCATCTAAGGATTAACACTAGTGATCAATCCAGAAAAGAAAGCACTGATGTGTGCTAAGCAACACAACTTGAATAAGGGCAATTTCAAGACCAAGGCCTTTACAGGGCTTAGGAAGGCAGTAATGTGTTGCTCTAAATTCACTTCTCTACAGAAGCACATGCAAATACAATATCAGGATTGGACCTGCATACTTCTCACCACCTCTAGAAAAAAATTAAACTCAATCTCTATATTGCCTGGGATATATCATATGCAAATTACTGAAACCAAGGGTAATAAGAAGATTTTTAAGAAAGCCAGAAATAAAAGCACATCTCATACAGAAGAAACAGAATCTTAAGAGACTTCTCATGAGAAATGTCATGAGCCCAAAGACAGTGACACCTTTAACAAACTGAAACAAAAACAGTAAAAACCTGACAACCCAAGTTCTGTACTGAAACAAAAGAAATCTTTGAAAAATGAAAACAAAGTAACGACTTTCACAGAAAACAAAACAGAGAATTCACTACCTGAACACATGTGCTAAGAGAAATGTTAAATGTTCTTCAGTCAGAAGGAGTATCATACTGGACAGAACCTCAGTATGAAATGAAAGGCTGCAGAAATGGTAAAAACATATATATAATGCCTTTTGCATCATTTTTAGTTATTCTAAAATGTAACTGACTCTTAAAAGCAAAAATAGTAATGATGTTTTGAAAGGTTTACAGTGTATAAAAATAAAAGGTACACTGGCACAAAGGCTGGCGAGAGGCATTCAAGGTACACTATTGTAGTTTTCTTAAACTATTTGTGAAATAATATAATACTACTTAAAAGCAGATGTGATATATATCAGAAAGATGTATTAAAAGTCCTAGGTAACAACAAAAACACTTTAAAAAGAAGTCTAACTGATAAATCGATAGCATAAATAAAATAGAACCATGTTTTAAAGCTCAATTAATTCAAAGGGGGCAGAAAAAAGAAGAGGAGCAAGCACAGATAGGACAAATAGAAAACAACTAGTAGAAAAGTAAGTTTAAATTCAATAATATCAGTAGTTATATGTAATGAAAATCTCAAAAAAGAAATTTACAACATAAAACTTTATAGAAGAAATAAAGGTCTCAAATCAGTGATTTAAACTTTCAACTTAAGAAATTAAGTAAGAGGAGCAAATGAACCCAAAGAAAGCCAAAACGGAAAAATTGTAAAGAGCCAAAATAAGTAAAATGGAACGCAGACAAATAATAAAATCAGGGAAACAAATATTTGATTTTTTGAAAGGATATACTTCTATCAAAACTGATGAAGAAAAAAAGAGAAAAGATAGAAATGAATAAGACTACGAATGAAAGAGGGGTCATCACAACAGATCCCACAGACATTAAAGGATGATAATAGAATATTGTACTTCATGCCAGTAAAGTAGATAAGTTAGATTAATGTACAAATTCACTGAAGGACATAAACTACCAAAGCTCAACAAGAGAAATACGAATAGTTCTATATCTATGGAAAAAAACTGAATCATCACTATGTAAATCTTCCAACCATTTCTGTCCTCCAGGTTCAAATGTTTTCACTAGTAAATTCTATCTGATATTTAAGGAAAAAAATCCATTCACAAAGAATACTAGAAAGAAGATTCAACTCATTTTTATTAGGCCACATTAACCAGATCCTCAAATCAGATGATGATATTAAAAGATAACTACTGACACCTATCCTTCATCAATATACACACAAAAATCTTTAGAAAAATGTTATAAAATTATATCTAGCAATATATACAGGGTAAGACACCATGACTACATGGGACATATCCTAGAATTCAACATTAGTTCATAAATCAACAGTGGCACAATAGCAACAGAGTGAAGATGAAAAAAATCATATAATCATTTCAAGGCATGCACTAAAATTACATCCTCCCATTATTAATGGGCTCACCTGCTTCAGTGTAAGTGGAAGCTCCATGGGAAGTACATAGCAAGGCACTACCAAACTCCCAGTCAGGATAGTATAGTAGATACCTGGTGGGCAGACTGAATTTCCACCCTGCTTAATGCTAACAAAGCTCCTATACCACCAGGGCTGTAAATGGACCCTAAGTGGAGAACCAGGACTTTTATCCCAACGCGCAATACTTCCAGAAAAAGTATGCTGAAACAAGAGATTTAAATAAAATTCTGAGTTTTACAACATAATACCCCAAATGCCTGAGCCAATAAAAAATCATTCATCATACCAAAAAAAAAAAAAACAGAACAGTCACAACTTGAATGAGAAAGGATAAAAAGATGCTTATCCCTAGATAAAACAGATGCTGGAATAATTCTAAGCAATAAACAGAAGACGCAAAGAAGAAAAAAATAGAAATTTAATTTCCAAATTAAAATAAAAACACATTGGATAGGCTTGACAGGTGGAGAAGGCAGAGAAGAAAACCCATGACTTTGAAGAGAGAATAGAAACTGCCCAATATAAACAACAGAAAGAAAACGCATTTTTTAAAAATGTGTAGGACAAGGGCTGGTTGGAGTGGCTTCAGTGGTAGAGTGCCTGCCTGGCAAGCAAGAGGCCCTGAGTTCAAACTCCAGTACTGCCAAAATAAATAAATAAATTGACAGAACATCAATATCTAAGGGACCACCACAACAATAAAATGCAACATTCATGTAATCAAGTACCAGAAAGAGCCAGACTGAAAATGTATTTTAAGAATCTTTGACATTTCCACAAATTTAGGTTCCAGAAATTGAGAAAACACTAAGCAAAACAACCACAACAAATCCTTGTTGTGACACAACAGAATCTAGCCCATGAAACTAAAGACAAAATTACTGGAAGCAGTGATGAAGGATACTTTACCTATAAGGAAAAAAAAAACAACTAAAGTAACAAGATTCCTCGTTAGACAACACAGAGGTCAGAAAGAATTGGAATATTTTTCCAGTTCTAGAAGCAAAGCACTGTCAACCCAGAATACTCTATCCAGTGGCAGCATTCTTCAGGTAAGAAAGGGAAATCAGGACATTCTCAGACAAAGAAAACCTAAAAGACTAACAGACCCACCCAAAAGGATGGCTAAAAGAAGTTTTTAAACTACAAGGAAACTTGCAAGATCAGAAAGGAAGAAAAGAACAAGAAAGTAAAATCATGGATAAATGCCAAAGATTTCCTGTTTCCTCTTGAGTTTTAACAATATTTGACGGTTCAGCAAAAAGTATAGTTTACAAAGCATGAAGAGAATAAAGGTAATTATAAATGAGAGGGTAAGACACGGTAAATAGTTTGTACTTGATTCAAACTAGTAACATCAAACTAGTAGCTTATGTATCATGTAACACCTCTAACAACCACTGGAAAAGCTATACAGAGATACATTCACAAAATTAAGATTAATAAAAATGAAATTTTAGAAAATGTTTAAAATAATTGACAGAAAACAAGAAAAAATTAGAAAGCAAGAAACACAAGAACAGACCAAAAACTGAAACTGAACTAGCAGCTTTAAGCCCTAATATATTATTAATAAAAGAAAATTATCTAAATACAACAACAGATACATCAATAACTTCACTGAGTGAACTTTTTAAATAGCCCAATTACATACTGTCTACAAGAAACTTAGTTCATATAAATAATACAGGTAGAGATGCTTACATGTTAGCACCAAGAGATTAATGTATCCTTATGTTTCTTATCAAAAAGGCAAACAGCTTCTCTAAAGCTTAATGTATATTTAAGAGAATTATTTTGACTAATGTGACTAAATTTAGTGTGTGATCCCTTGTGTAATATGCTCCATGTAAAATATTAACAGATGAAATCATCAAAATTCCTTTAAATGTAAATATTAAGAGATTAAATATAAAGTTTATTTTAAACTAGAGAAATAAGAGGAAGTGAGTGAGATCTGGGGATGTAGCTCAGTGGCAAAGCACTTGCCTTAGCATGGATGAAGCTTTGGATTTGATCCATAACACCACAGAAAAATTAATAAAAGAAAGAGAACATGAAACCACTCCAAAAAGAATGTCAAAAGAAGTAGAAAAGAGAGAAACAATAGAGAAAACTCAAACTAGAAGCAAATTTATTGAGTGAATTTAGGAAATCTGTAGACCTCTAGCCAAACAGGTAAAAAAATTGACCAGTATTAGCAAACGAAGAGGAAGTAATGGCACAGATTCTACAGATATTGAAAGGAGAATAAGAGGATTCTATGGACAAGTTTGTGCCAATAAATTTGAGTATCTAAATAAAATGAAAACTTTTAAGTCGCGTTATCTCAGGCATTTGTTACAGTAATGGAAAGCTAAGTAATGCAATCAGCTTTAACTAAAACCTTATTATATTGACTAATTTCTTTGTCCAGTGTGATTTCAAGAAACAGAGACACAAAAGAAGCACGTTCTTGTGCACATGCAGCTGACACGTATTAAGACAATCTAACTAGGTAGCGTTCATGAGATGCCCAGAAAGGATAAAAATAATCAAAACATCTATGTCATCAACAGGGCTGAATTTTTGTTTTTATTTTCGTTAATTCAAAAAGGAAAAGAGAGATGGGTACTGGTGGCTCATGCCTATAATCCTAGCTACTTGGGAGGCTGAGATCAGAAGGATCATGGTTTGAGGCCAACCTGGCAAAAAAAAGGTTGTGAGACCTATTTCAATTCTGGCCATGTGGCACACACCTGTCATCTCAACTACAGCAGAAGCCATAGGAGGATCGAGGTCCAGGCCAGACTAGGAAAAAGGGAAATCTTATCTCAAGAATAACCAGAGCAAAGAAGGGCTGAAGGTATGGCTCAAGTGGTACAGCTCTTGCTTAGCAAGTACAAAGCTCTGAATTCAAATCCCAATACCACCAAAAAAGAAAAGGGAAGGGGGAAGCAATTTGAAATATTACACTTACTATTGAAATAAATATTTTCAAAGTACTGCATTTATAATATCTCTTGTTTTCATTATAGTGAAAATATTCTAATGACTAAGAGCAATATACAAAAATAGGCAAAATTACTCTCAAAGTTTTAGAGTACAGAAAAATCAAGTAATCAAGTTATGAAAGTATAAAAGACTATAAAACTTACCTGTTTAGACATATTTTCTGAAAACACTGCTGATTTTTCTTTTAAAAATGTCACAAGGTCTTTATAAATCTCACCCTTTCTCTCATAATCAATTTCTCCCTCCTCCTCTGTTTTACCCTTTGGGAGAAAAAATTTGGTGGTAAAATTAAAATAATAGTAGTATAAGAGCCTGACCAATACATCACAACCTGAACACGCATACTAACTTTTTCTCTAAAGGATCCACATGGCAGTCTTTGTGCATGGGATGTATAAGCAAAACCCTTTCTCTTAAACTCAATACTACCCATTCATTCTTTCATTCATCTGACATCTGTGCATTCAGCACTTAACGAGTACCTCCTCTTGTAGAGCTCTGCCATCAAGAAGAGAAATGAGAGCTCTTTTCTTCTGCAATCCCCTCTGTGAAAACACATTATGACATAAAGAACCTCAGCTGATGAAGTCATAAAAGCTCTCAAGATTAGAAAGTCATCACAGAAGAGCCTATGTTTTCTGCTTATCACTCTCAGCTCTTGCTCTGTGTGTAGCATGGTTCATTGTGTGGGGTTGCCATCTTTATAGAACCATTTGTCCATCCACTTCTCTGCCTCTGTCCTTCCTGCCTCTATCTTTTGCTTATTTCCTTTTCTTTCATAACTTATTATTCTACCATATGTGATCACACACATAAATACACACACAGAAAACTGCAGTGTGTTTTTAATTTTTTTGCCATTACCAAATATTTTTAAGGTCCTTGTTTGTCATTTCTTTTAACTCTGAGAGACTGGCCTGTAATCTGATAGTGCCTCAGGCCTGTAATCCTACCTACTCAAGAGGTAGAGATTGGGAGAATCATGGTTGGAGGCCAGCCCAGGCAAATATTTAGGAGCTCTCATCACAACCAACAGCTAGTGGCTCACATCTGTCATCCCAGTAGTTCAGGGAAGGGAGGGTTTTGAGATTGGGAGGATCATAGCTCAAGGCCAGCCTGGGCAAAAAGTTCACAAGACACTATCTCAACAGAAAAGCTAGGCATGGTGGTGTGCATTCTAGCTAAGGCAGGAAGCATAAAAGAGCAGGATCATGATCCAGGCCAGCCTGGGCAAAAAGCAAGACCCTATTTCTAAAATAACCAGAGCAAAAAAGGCTGGAGATGTGGCTCAAGCAGTAGAGTGCCTGCCTCATGAAGCCCTGCGTTCTAACTCTGTACTGCTCTCCCCTCCCAAAAAAAGTCCTGAGAGGAATACTTAGCTGATTCCATATCAAGTAAAGTTGTATGCATGTAGGCTAATAGCCTTTGATAAAAAATAAAGACTCCTTAATCCCTTTCTAGAAGATCAAAGAAAAACATATTACTTTTCTAAAATATCAAAACAAACCAAAAAAGCAGAACCATAACTGATTCTCTATACATAAATAAGTGAAGTTAAATGCTAATAAAGGTATAGCCAAAGAGATTTCTGCAGCACCAGCATTTTATCCCAACTGAACCAAGGTGTAGCATCTCTCCAAACAGCTCCTGGGACACCTGGATTCTCAGTGAGGATTTGAGACCTACTGGCAGAGTTTTTCTTGAGCCCCAAATTCACACCAATCATAATAAGCACCATGTTACAGAGGAGACGACCAAGTGTCTCCAGCTAGCTCAGTAAATGAGAATGAGACCCAACTGCGAGTGTTCTGAATCTAAGAGACTTGGAGGCTGTGTGCTGCTAGTCTCTCAGCGCAGAGCTCACCCACTCTGCTTTGGAATCCTTGGGTAGGGAACCTGAAAGACCGAAATGACTAAGGCTGAAAGGAGGGACATGCGCCTTCCTGCCTGCCCATTCCTAGTTAGTAACCCCCAAAATAGCTTTTCACTCCCAGCAGTGCTTCCAATCACAACAACTGGTCCCAATTTCTGCATTTGTTTCTTTTTCCCCACAATCCCAGAACCAGGCGCATGTAACATACATAACATACATATGTGTAATATATAACAGAAATAACATCAGCAATTCACCAGTGCTCCATCTTCAAAAGTCTCGATTTCTGCTCTGCCAGCTCTACCATTATCCTCCTCTGACCTCCTGAGGAACCAGCACCAACTGTGCAGCATCCACTCCCTAGAGGCCCAGATCCCAGCTTTTTAGAGACCATGTGAGCTCCTGGGGAACCAGCACAGCCTGGAAGTGGTTCACCTACAGGTCTGGGTCCTTTCCTGCAGCACATCCTCCAAGCTTCTGCACTGGATAACCTCCCTGATTCCTTTCACTCTCAGATTGGAAGCTGCTGTCATTACTTTTGTGTTGCCTCCATGTTCCTTTTTTCCCTTTCCTTTCCTATAACACCTATGTAACTAATCCATAAACCAATTACATGACAATTATTTTGTAAAGTGGAGCAGATCACTTTCAAAGCCCATTTCTTAGAAGACTGGCTTAATGACCTGCAAGGTGGGACAACAAAGTTGATTCTGAGACCATTTTGGGTTTGCCCAGAAAAGGCACAGCCAAAGAAACAGCTTCCATCCCACAGAGCAGTATTCCATTCTCTGTGGTCATCAGGACACAGCTTATAAGTCAAGACAGCATTTACAGAGACCTAGCAAAGAGCCCAAGTCTTTGCTTTAGTTATTTATTTAAAAAATTACTTACACCATTTAAAAATACTCCTTCTGTGCTGCAAGTGATGCACAGAGTTTCAACGTCATGTGGCTTCACGAATACATAACACATCTCTCCTCGAATTTGTCTCCAAGGTGGGGCTCGACATCCATTTGAAAACTCATAATCTGTAACCAGTCATCAAGCCTTGAATAAAAGCTCAACTTAAGAGTTTTGATAAATGTGTTAGTTTCAACAAAATTAATGCTTTTAGAAATTTTACGTTTTTATCTTCTTAAATACTCAATTCTGATGTAACCATGGGAAGCATTTTGGAAATAGAATTCTAAAAGTGTAAATAACAGGAAATGAACACAAGAAGATGCAAACCTGATGTATATTCTATAGACTCCAGTACTGTTTGTTCTCCTTTTCCTGAGAACCGTTTGAGCAGCTCTACATCTTTCTTGATAGTTCCTGGATTTAAACATATTTCTCTGAAATAGATGTTTAAAAATTAGTGTAAGTGCCTTCAAACAAATCTATAAGAACAGATGAACGGATTTCACTATGTCAGGGCAATCTTTTTTTTGTAATTAAAATTGTAGCTAATTTTATAATCTCATGTAACATTACTTGTTCAAATGTCAAAAAATTCATATTGAATGCAATATTAGATATCATTAGTTATCAGTAATGATAATTTTAAGAAAGGACATGCCATAACACTAGAAAATATACAAGAAAAATGAAACACATTCTGGACTACACAAACTCTCTACATGACACTTGCACTGTAATTTACTAATTTATGTCATTACCTTAAAAGGGTTTGAAAAAAGCCAAACTGTTTAATGCTTCAAATTAGATGATCCCACTAGACTGTTCCAGCAATATTGGCTGCAAATTTAGGTTTAGAACTAGAACAACTAAATCCTATAGAATTAAATTCTTGTTCCAAAATGTAATGTTAACTCAACAGCAATAATTCTATACTTTCTTTTTCTTGTGTCTTTTTCTAAAACACTGAAAGCCATTTTTGTAACTAATTTGAGGGGTTTCTTTTATAAAAGACTCACAGTGAAATCTGTTTTAGGGAATGATTGAGTAGGTGCAGATCTAACTGTTTGAGCAGTATGGGCGACTTTCATTTTAATGCCACATTCACTATCATCAGCAATTTTACCAAGAACATTTAAGGATGTGGAGTTGTCGTTCACTGCATCATAATCCGAGCCCAGGATTTGTACCACAGGGTCTCTGTTAGCTGGCAAAGAAATAAAGAATACAAATTATCTTCTTGTCTTTTTTTTTTCCCCTTTTTTTATTTTTTATTATTTTTTTTTCATTTTTTCTTTATATATTCTATGTGTATACAAGGCTTGGTTCTTTTCTCCCTCTGCCCACCCCTCCCTTACCACCCACTCTGCCCCCCTCTCCTCCTCTCCCCCAATACCCAGCAGAAACTATTTGCCCTTATTTCTAATTTTGTTGTAGAGAGAGTATAAAGCAATAATAGGAAGGAACAAGGGTTTTTTGCTTGGATAGATTAGCTATACAGGGCATTGACTCACATTGATTTCCTGTGCGTGGGTGTTACCTTCTAGGTTAATTCTTTTTGATCTAACCTTTTCTCTAGTACCTGGTTTCCCTTTTCCTATTGACCTCAGATTGCTTAAGGTATCTGCTTTAGTTTTCCTGCGTTAAGGGCAACAAATGCTAGCTAGTGTTTTTAGGTGTTTACCCTTATCCTCACCCCTCCCTTGTGTGCTTCTCTTTTATCATGTGCTCAAAGTCAATCCCTTGTTGTGTTTTGCCCTTATCTAATGTCCCATATAGAGGGAGAACATTACGATTTTTGGTGTTTTGAGCCAGGTTAACCTCACTCAGAATGATGTTCTCCAATTCCATCCATTTACCAGCGACATGATAACATGTTCGTTCTTCTTCATGGCTGCATAAAATCCATTGTGTATAGATAACCACAATTTCTTAATCCATTCGTCAGTGGGGGCATCTTGGCTGTTTCCATAACTTGGCTATGTGAATGCTTGCCCAATAACCAGAATGTAGCAGTGCCTCTGGATACAGTCTTTGGGTATATCCCCAAGAAGTTA